TGAATTTACTGGCAACGAGAAGGGCGAAGGACTCGCAAATTCTCTGAACGAGCCGGCAAGCTATAATAATAAACAAAATTTCCTTTATGTCTTAAAAGGGAGAACGCTGGGGTACTAGTTGTACCTACAGGACGCTGATGGTTTGACATGCCCTTAAATTAGATTTAACTAATGACAAAACTTGCATGGGATACTGAACGAACAAAGGGTTTGTGGAGCATATTCTCTATGAGTGTCTTGCCCTTAGCAGGCTGCAGTTTAGGCGACGCCGAGTCCAATTCAGAGGGAGGAAATGAGACGTCCTACCGAATTCTATTTAGTGATACTTCTGATATTTTACATGTGAGCCCGTTCATCATCGTTCATCAGGCATTGATGGTATACCAATACACTACTTTTAAACATCATCCCAGAAAGAAAGGTCCATTGTGTTCCTAGGCGGACTTCGTTTCCCACCCATAGGGGTGGCACCCAATAGGACTACAGCGGCCAAAAGTAGTAAAAACGGGTCGTTCCCACGACAGTCGGGTCTACGTAACCGGAACGACCCCGTTTTATATTTGGCCAAGGACTGTCATTCCAGCAACACTCCCCAAAAACTCTTTCGGGAACTTGTATGCTGCTACAACAACAACAGTAAAAACGGGTTAGCGAATTCTGAAACAGTAATTACGCAGATATGTACCCAAATATCCAGCTAACCCAAACCAAAAAAAAAAATGTTTCATAGAAATGCATATTTGCAATCATAACACGACCTTAAAGTAGGAACAATGCGAAAAAATAAATTTGCATTCGTCAATCTATTAATCACATTCAATATTCAGCCAAAAATGGACGCTTCTCTGGACGAGATCCGTTTTCTATGGCAAGAGTCCTGCTTTCCTTAGCTCTGCTTTTGTTGTATAAAATGTAGGTAAAATTGAAAGTTTCAGTATAAATACATATCGTTCACATAATTTAGTATTTTTTTAAGTGAAGAAATAGGAACTTCCTTAGAAATAAAATAAATGTTCCTGCTCATTTTCTCCAAAATTCCTTAAGTTTAGTACTTGAAGCCAAAATATTTGTGTAGAAGGTGGGCGCCGTAATAAGAAATTTTTTATTATCTTCCAAGTTGGAAAATTCTGGCTTAAACAAGCTGGGCCCACTAAATTTCAATAAAACAAAAAAAAATTTATTTGCCTCTGTTTATCTAGAATTAGGGGACGATACCGATTTTTACGATCTTTCAGATTTATGCTTTGCTCGTTGAAACCAGCATATGCCCTGAATTTCATCAAAATCGGATAACATTTACTATTTCCGTCCACAACAGCAGTGGGCGTGGTAGCGCGTTGAATTTTACCATTTTCCACATTTCTTCATTCCTAAATATCGAACAGCGCATATACGAAATTTCAGCGAATTTCCAGTACGGTTACTACTTTTGGCCGCAGCTTATGTATATGGGGACGTCCCACTGTGCGACGCTTACTTATCATAAGAAGTTTATCTACATAGTTATGTACATCTCAGCCGCTTGGTCAATCTACACCCAATTTGATGGACAAACGTTGCCGGAAAAAGTATTAACACAGAATTATTCATAATACGGGTAACAATTTTTTTCATTATTATTAATTATTATATTATTAATTATTATATTATTAATTATTATATTATTAACACAGAATTATTCATAATACGGGTAAAAATTTTTTTCCACAATTCTTTTTTTATAATCTCTAAAATTTGTGCATAACTCAGGAAAGTTCATCCAGATTTGCAACTTTTTAATCAGATTTTTAGAGTACGCAGTTTTGTAGCCCATTCAATTTTAGTACAATAAGGTGTAAGTCTAAAGTAGCTAGGATTTACCGTTGATTTTTGGAATTTTTTTCACTCATTTTCTTCCACCAAAAAAAGGTTCGAAAATACTTTGTATGGAAAATATGTTAAACACCTTCGACAAAAAACTCAACCCGTTTTTAAACAACTTCAAGCTTGCAATTTTTTGATACTAAAATTTATTGGGCTACAAATCTGCATACTCGAAAAAATTCTAAAAAATCTTAATAAAAAGTTCCAAAAAACTTTCCTGAGTTTTGCAAAAATTTTAAAAACTGCATATATAAGTATATTTTTATGTTTTTTGTTGTAGGGTGAACTGTATTTTTGTAAAAAATTAACCGGAAGGAATTTAAATGGAATTAGAAAAAATTTGCCGGAAGAAATTTAAATGCAATTTTTTGCATATATTGTGAAAAATTGTCTGTACCAATATTTTTCAATCGGACATAAGCGATTCCCACCTTCTATATAGAAGTTATATGAATCGGTCCGTGTGCTAAACGTATAAACTGAAATATGTACATAACTTAATGAAGCTAATTGAGCTTGTAAACTTTTCCGCGGTCAGGTTTACGAAACCGGAACGACGGTTTCTTTGCATCTCAAGGACGATTCTATATTAAGATAACGATATGTATATCGAGCTCAAAAAACGTGACATATTTTTTCAAAATGTTCTTTTTGATGCAGCAGAAATGCTCCAAGAGCATCTAGATTCATTTCTGCAGCAAAAAGATCTACTCTCTTCGCCATCTGCTGCATTTAAAAACAAAGCAGGAAATTATTATGTTTTCATTTAAGTTTTCGCTATAATATGCACCGGTTAATTATATCCATTACTATTTAATTAGATTTTAAAATGTCGATGTGTTTTTTGGCAACCCACGCATGGTCGTGGACCTGCTATTTTTACCGCAATAAAAAACTAATCAGACTAAATACAAAAAAAAAATACTGCATACAATGCTACGAATTAATGACGTACCATCGAACCTGCACCTTTCGACCCTGAAACGTTGTAAATACCGATTGGCCGTGAAATCTAAACGACTGCAATCTACTATAAATACCACCCACTCCCATATGCAGCCGTTAATTGAATTTTGGTCGATTAATTGTCAGGACGTGCCCGTGTCGTACGCAGTGACAGAAGTGCCAGAAGCAATTGGAAAGAGACGAGGAATCGGTCGAATAGGTAGAATTGTTGGATCACAAAGAAGCTGAGTGTTGAAAGTTAAAAAAAAAAACAATAGCAGGTAAATATTTTGGGATTCATTCAACAAATAATGGAAATAATCAATTTTTATTATCTCTCAAAGCATGGGCGTTTCAAAGAGGCTACCTAAGTACGAGTCGGATGCTTTCGACAATGTTGAATATCAGATCCAGATGACGTACACCGTAGAGACCGATCGCCGCATTATGAGTTTCGTCGATTCTCGTTGGGGCATCGAAGTGACAGGTGGTGTTGATCAATTCGAACCGTTAACCATAATTAATGTAACACCAACTGGTATGGCACGTAGTGCTGGCATGCGTATCGGCGATGAGATCACACAAATAAATGACACGTTAGCGTTGGGGCTGACTTTCAATGAAGCATTGGAGTTGTTTCGAAAAAATAGGCGTTACGTGCGGGTTTATGTTAGAGGGTAAGGAATGATTAATGGACGTGATTATGAGAATTAGTATTATTTTTTTTTTCTTTAGCGATATTGATGACGATGGCGAAGAAGACTGGACGTGCCACTTTTGGTTTAAGCCACGTAAGTTTTACGAAATACGTCAGGACAAGACATGCTTTCATATTTTAATTTAATTAATTATTATATTATATTTCTTCTATGCAGGCAAACCTTGGCGCCGCGACTTCACTCCTATCCAATGGGAGTTCCCATGGAACGATCGTCGCAAGCCGATCTATCGCGAATCGAATTGCTTCATGGTGCCCAGCAAGATGGAGGAAAAGATACGCCAGCGACGTGCCGCAACTTCCGCGGTGCACAAGAAGGAAGAACTCGCGCCACATACCCGCTCATTGACACCATCACCACGGCCCAAAAACCAACCTGGCGAAAATTTGATGGAAACTATGTTCAAAAAGTAATCTAAACGATGTTGAAGCGGGGAAACGCGATAGCAATGAATGCTGAAAACATTGTGTTGAATTTGGCAAACAAAGACGAAATATACAAAGGCAAAAATTTGTTGGAAAATTCGCAACGCAAATAAACGCCGACAGTTTTTCATTCCAGTTCCAGAAAAAACAAAAAGAAGCATGTGTCTGTATATACTGCCACATACTTGATTAAAGCTCACAAAAGAGATAAAAGGGTGATAGAAGTTAGTCTTAAGTTCAGAAGATAAAAGTTGGGGAACTAACTAAAAACTCAATTTTAGTTTGAAGTGAGGTAAAAACCGAAAATCTAATACATAAATAAATTATATAAACACTTGTTATAAAGCTGGCAAAAAAACTTTGCAAAGCTTCATAAAATAATATAATAATAAAAACGTTTACGATAACTCGCAAAACTTTTTTAATTATAGCCAACAAAGAAGACTAATACCTATTCATAAAACCTATGCACTTGCATAATAAATGAAAATGCAATTGATTGCCACTGTGTGTGTGCAGCTAACACAAATTAGAAATGCGTTGTACACTTTTTATGCGCAATTTTAGCGTATATCCTAACATTGCAAACAATAAAACTGTATTTTCTTATTTTGTTTATTTTCAATTTTTATTTAATTCCGACAAATGTGCTAACGTGCCAGTGGAAGTTGTCTTTTAAGTTTATAAATAAATCACCGTGAAATGCGAAGTCTAGCCAATTTCATTTTATTATTGTGTTTGTTTGTGTGCGAAGTTTAAATGTGATGAAACCATTGAAATGAAATCAAGAGAGCCAATGTCATTAACAAACGCAAAAAATAAACTGAGTTTTACACACAAAAAAAACATGGCGAACTTAGCTCAGTGGGTAGGCTGCTGGCCAGTTGGAGAAGTCCGATAAGATGTGGTGATCTCCGATATAGCTATAACTTCTCTCAAAAATGTAAATTGCGGGTTTTTTCACAAAAATTTGCATTGAAAATGGCCTCAAGTTCAATAAAAATTTTTGAATACAAACAACAAAAAAAACTTTAAAAAACATATAATGTTCTACTTGCATCTCTTTTTCGCCAATGAATTGCATGAATTTATAGCAAATACACCCGAAACTATTTAATTACTTATACAGTTTATTTAATTTGCTTAAGATAATAAGTTAAAAATGCTTTATATATCCGGGCTTTGTTTTTGTTACAAGGTTCGCAAACCAGATTTATCCAAACCGAACATTTTGTTTTTAAATATTTCGTTGCACGTAAAATGAAATGGCTTAAATTAGGATGCATTGAATCTAAATGTTTTTACTTTTTAGTTTTCGATGAAAAATAGATACACATAAAGCATTTCATTATTTTGGTAAGACTTTAGTTTTTACCAGTCATACTTCCGCGTTTAGTATTTATATTACTTGTTTATTCTGAATATCCTCCTGCGATTACTGTTTCTTGTATTATTGTTGTTGTTGTTGCTGTTGATGTTATGTTTGCGATTGCAGTGGCTATTTACGCTTTTCGAATTTATATTTTGGATTTCTGGTAATGTACCCTTTTGCTTATAGCTATTTGTTTGACCCGTGGCTGGATATTATTCGCGATGTAACAATACAAATATTGCTAAGATCGATAATATTGCCCACTGCAACATAAATATTTCATTAAAAGTAACAAAAATATAAAAATATCTGTTAATTAGCATTACCTTAACTTTAGGATACTCATTCATAAATATCGTTATTATTCCAACATATGGAAGGAACCCTCTAGCACGCCCGACAATGTCCTTTTTCGTTAGCCATAATTGGCCAGGAGCATAAAGACCTCGATCATCGACGTTGTTGTTGTCACCTTTGGTCAGGAATTTCACTGAACCATCTTCCCTAAAATGTAAATTTGTTTATGATATTCGCTCATAAAATTCTTTGTGCATTAACATTAACATAATTGAAGTGCGCATGATTGTTGATCTTACTTCTCATGCAGTTTAATGACTCGATGCACAATGGGTATATCTCTCCCCTCTACTTTGAACACAACAATTTCTCCTACACGTACTGGTTCCTCCTTATAATTAGTGAGAAACAGCAAATCTCCTCGATGGAAAGCCGGCTCCATACTGCCACTGAGAACCACCACAATAGGCGATTCACTGCCAGTCACCACCATTAACCCCTTCCAGATCATCAGAGCGGACGA